GGGGGGGGGAGGGTCGTAAGACAACTGACACCCAAACCTAGGAATCTTTGCACAATCGTAGGGCTTCAACTTATGAGCGAGAATTAGAATTGGTGTATGCATTGAAGTAACGTGGAGAGATGCACGCAGCGCCCACCCCCACCTGCTGTTACAATGCTGTTAAACGTTCCAACTGTTTCTTCTCTTCCAGGCGGAGGCAACTGATAAGCGGACCTATGAGATCGTGCGGTTGGGCGGCAAGGACAGGCCGATGGTCACTGCGTTCCTCCGAAAGTTCTTCTACCATGACGAGCCCCTGAACGTCGCGGTGAGCATCTCTCAAAGGAAATGTGCCCCGCGCCCTAATAGTGCAATAAGTACTGACCGCAGGCGCGCTCTGCTCCAAACAGATCGGCATGCAGCCCGGCCAAAGCAGCCCCGCCCTCGAAGACTTCTCCCTCAGCACCCTGCACGAGGGCATCTCGGTCGGGGCCATCGCCTCCGACGGCACCCTGGTGGGCGTGTGCGTCAACGGCACCCTGAGCCGCGAGGAGGACGAGGAAGGCCGCCGAGAGTGGCTGAAGGAGGCCGACGACGTCCCGGAAGATGTGACCACCCTAAAGAGACCCGAAGAACAGTTCAACCAGGTCAGGAGACTTCTGATGAGGACTTCTGCTCAAGGGAACGTCTTCGCCCAGGTGCCCGCTGACGTGGACAAAATATTCGACATCTTTATCCTCTCCGTGGATGGTTCTTGGAGGGGGAAGGGCATCGCCAAGAAGCTCCTCGACCAAAGCAGGTGGGTGCAGTTTGAAGATCAGTTATTCTGCTGTTATTGTTATATCCATAAAACGGAATGAAGCTTACCTTACGTAGTTAATCTCTTTACGAATCGAAGTTTAAATGTGTGTTTTCTACAGGGAAATCGCCCAGTCTGAACAGCACCGCCTGATGCGGGTCATCTGCACGTCCTACGTGTCCGCTCTGATCGTCTCCCGGTTGGGGTACCGCTGCATTGACCGGTTAGACTACAACGACGTCGTCGACAGGAAAGGGCAGCGCATATTCCCTACGCCGCCGCCGCACGACGCCGCCAAGACATACGTCCTCGACCTCTGAGCTGTCTTGTCGTCAGCATTCTTTGCCAAAAATGTCTTGAACTTGTGAGCGGGTTCACCCTCCGGGTCTCTATAGGTCTATGACACTCACGCACGCTAAGTACAAACATAATGGCGCCAAACAGTCTCTGGCTGGCGCCATACCCCGCGCCAGTCCATGCCTTCTCCACGAGCGGACCAGACTGCGACGACCCTCTGCAGTTCGGCATGGGGTATAGCCGTTCCGAACTCGTGTCAAGAACCTTTCCTATCTGTTTGCGCGCGTGGGCTTCGACAAGAAAGGGTCTCAATCTCTTCATTGCTGGATCTTTGATCCCCTTGGCCAGACCTGTGAAAACTAGGTAGGTCACGGAAATACGATTTGGAAAACAAGCCCACGCCCGGACAGCAGGCAGTGTTTGGAGTCTTGAAGCGGGACGGCCGGCCAGACGGGGCTCACCTGGGAGGCGTAAGTTAGCAAGGTCCTGGGGTCGAGGGAGAGGAAAGAGGACAGACAGATCAGATAGCTTCTCGCTACCTGTTAGCCCATGAGACACGCTGTACACATGTGTGTCATCGTTAGTGTTAATTTTTAAGTGTTGTTGACCGCAAGGTGTTCTTTGTACATAATGGTTGTGATTTAAATTAAATGTAATTGTTGAAACTGGGTCCTTCCTTTTATTCGGGTATCATAGCTGGTTGCTGACTAACCCCGCGCCTCACCCCGCGCACTTTAGTAGGCATACTGTGCCGCATTTCTACGTGCGGTTGGGTTGCCCACTCGCTCGGACCGTAAAGGCACCCTCCCAACGAGAACATGACATCAAAATATCGTCAAAAGAGGGTCATTGACGGTCATTTTGACGTCTAAGTCCATATCCAGAAAGACTATGCTTTGACGAAAACGGTCAAAATGACATCACTTTGACGTTATTTTGACTTCAAGTGTTCTCCTTGGGCTGGACCGGTGGTGGGCAAGCCCGCCCGCACTCATGCGTACGGTACGGTACCGTACAACTACAGGAGTGCGCGTGGGTAATGCTATTTATTTCTTCTCGTCTTGTTAGTACCGAGTGAATCAGACAGAGCGGACGATGGTGTATCACGGGATTGCATACCCTCTTGGGTCGCACAGCCCATGGCCCTTTTTCGGGTAGGAGGGAGTACACAAACCAGACAAACGCGCTACACTTCAGCGCCCGCCTCCAGTATACACGGTTACACAGAGGGCTGTCAAGTGAAGCAGACGATTTGACGTACTTACCGGGTGTCCGGGAGCATACGCGGCAGCTCGATGGGTTGCCTACGCACTGGCGTGCAGGTGCGGAGAGCGACCGGGGGGAGGGGGGGGGGCAGCCGATTGCCTCCCGCCACCTTCACCGCTCGCCCTATCTGCGCCTGCACGCCAGTGCGTAGGCAACCCATCGAGCTGCCGCGTATGCTCCCGGACACCCGGTACGAACACCGTTTAAGGGCGCCGCCCTCCCCCCTTTCCGCACCTTGCCCTCAAACGACTATTCGTACAAACGCACGTAAAATCGGCTGCTTCACAGCTTTGTCAGAGCAGCCGACCCGACAGAGCCCGTGTGTTGACTAAACAACAATGATTCTCGCAGCCTTGCGAAAAGTAAACAAACCTTACTCCCTCCCCCTCCCCTCCCTTTTCCCGCGACACGACCACGTCCTACCTAACCGAGCGCCGACTGGACTGAACAAACTCTTGTAAGTTTTTTTGGAAGCATCTTGTATTAATACAAATCGATCTTTTTGATAAAAATGTTCGCTAAAATCGGCTCTCACATGCGGCTACGTCCCTGTGAGAAACCATTGACGTAAATGTTGATTTGACAGTGAATATCAATTTGTGTGTTGGAACATAATTTACGCATAGAAATGCGGTCTTATGAGAGAAAGATAGGATCGGAATATACATCATCGCTTTCCTCCGACGGGAAAGCAAATCATGGTTTCAGGGATCCTCACCCAACTTGTGGTGTTGTGGTTCATGCATTAATCACGATACATCGCATGGTTTGCGATACCGTGTGTTTTGGTCGTAATTTTTACCAAATAAAAAAAAACATGCATTAAACGAGAAAATCGTGGTCTACCAAGTATATTCCGCAAAATGCATCTGTTAATGTGTTAATAAATGTGTTAAACTGTTGACTTGTTATCTGTTGAACTCATTCAGTTCATACGGGCAGAAGCCTAAGTTACGATTCGAATGTCAATTCGATACCTGAGCCACCTGTATTTACTTATTGCACTCCAAATCCGGAGATGGCTTTTTTGTGTGGGTGTGTGTTGATATGCAATCCAGCTGCGTGCGAGGCGATAGACGAAGACTGAGTAGAGCGCATTTCGATCCTAGATCCGTTAAGCTGGAGTAAACAATAATGACCCGAACGAGCTCTGAACCGGCGGACCCGTGTCGGGAAGACTGTTAATCTACGACAGGCCAGACGACAAGAAGAAACGCCCGAAGTGACATTGGCGACACGGCGGTCCACGCCGCTCTGAGCAAACGCGGCCCGCGCGGTCACATCCGCCCTCATCGCGCACCGCGCCCGACCGGGAGGGGAAGTCCTTAAACAGGATGGGGCCGAGTCCTCTGCCTGGCACGAGGAGGCACGAGAGCCGACTGGTCCACTCGCTTCGTGCCGTCCCGAAGGCACTGTAGGCTTATAGTTGCAAGCAATTGGGCGATCAGCTGCACTAGCTGCACTACACTGTAGCCTACTGCAGCTGCACTGTCCAGCACTTTCCCCCGCAGTCCCCCCTGTGACCGCGTCATCATGACCAGTCCCTCCCCTCCCCTCCGCTAGGTCTTCAGCCGCTTGAAAACCCTGCTGCGATGGGGGCAAAAGAAGCGGGGCGGGGGCGCGGGCGCG